GGGGTGTCTTTCTTTCTTTCTCTCTCTCTTTCCTTCTCTCGAGAGGCGGGAGTAGCCCGAGGGCCGGCTAATGGCGGCGCCTGCTGCAGCCAGGGGGCGGGGCTACCTGCGTCAGGTGCGGCGGGGGGAAGGGGTGCAGGGGGCGGGCCCAGCCAGGGGCGGGTTCAGCGGGTCTGTTGGTTTTTACCTACTTTGGTGCGATCAGGGCTCGCCCCCTCCGGATTGGCTGGGCCCCGCCCGAGGCCCCGCCTTTCAGTCGCGCGTGACTGACGGCAGCGCCGGCCGCCTCGCGCTGCGCGCCGCCCTGCGCGGGGAGGGACCTGGGCAGCCCGTGGAACTACAGGCCGGCTGCGGCGCACGCTGCTCTGTGGGTAGATACTGGGAAGGGCCGGGGGGTGCTGCCAGATATGCAGGGGGCCCCAAAACAAGCCGGTCCTGGGCTTGCCTGGGCACCTGGCAGCTCCTCCTGAGAGATCTCCAAGCTGCAGAGACTCCTTGTGCCTGAAGAAGGGCAATTGTGGCCAGTTTTTTTTCCCCCCAAGGATTCAGTTGTTTTCATCAAATACGTTGCATCTACCTAAAGAAGCTTGCCTAGCAGCTCTTCCAGCACTTTCCAGAAGCTCCCAGGCCTTGCCTGCCTACTCATCTGGCTGTGCTCTCTGGCCAAGTGTAGCACTCATACCCAGCTTGCCAGCTTGGTGCTCTTCCTGTGGTGCAGCTGGAGGAGAGCAAGCGGATCTGCCCTCCTTTTAAGATAAGGGACTCACCTGCAGGGCACACCCTTTTTCTGGTTGAAGAGGTGGAGAGGACTTTGATCACTCAGATGGGCCTGCTGTGCCTTTTGGATGACATCATAGCTTGGTCCCAGCTGCGGGGCACAGCCGGGGCTGCTGCAGCACCCATCCAAGCCTGTGGGAGTGAATCGCTTGGGTGGGTGCTAGCTAAGGTTGTGATTCAAATGGAGGAAGAGGCACACTGTTAGAGGAAAACAAAGATGAGGTGCCCTATATACGCTTGGGGTGAAGCAAGGCAGCAAAAGCAAGGTTGGAGGATGTTCAGTTGAAACTAAGGTTGGGTATTTGACTGGTTAAATACAGTTGTGTCAAATGAGTGGTCAAATACTGGTCAAAAATTGTTCATGGATCCAATAATACACAGCAAAAGCACAGATTTGCTATTAAGAAATGTGTCAAAAAATAAAAAAATTTCTGTTAAGAAAATGACAAAACAAAGGTTGTTTTTGTAGAATTACTATAATCTTTAATAGGTAACAAAAAATCCAATCCATTCACCTGTCAATTGATAATATTGGACTGATTAATTGACCGGCTTGCTGGCCCTAGTTGAAACCTGTTTGTTTCAAACAGAAGGGAATTGAAATTGTCAGCTGGGTCTGACTGAACTGAAAGGGGGAGTTGACTGTCTGGGGATGCTACTTTTGTGTGGAAGGAGTCTAAGGAGCTGAAGGAACCTTTAACATGAAGCGGAGGGGTTTGACCAGCTACCAATTTCTGTTTAGAGTAGTGGGGAGACAGCATGTAAAGCCCTTCCTCATTAGTATGTGCACTTTTCTCTTTTTGGTAGAGGTTTGTTGTATACTGGGAGGACAAGGTATCAGTGAGAACTCACACCTTGTTATTTCCAACCATTTATACAACCTCCACTCCTTTCCCTCTGTGGAAATTCCAAAATAATAATAGACCAACAACGTTCTTTGGTTAAATCCGATGTCATTTTTATTAGACCAACTCAAATAGTTAGAAAAATTTTTCTTTGCAAGCTTTCGGGCATAAATACCCTTTGTCAGGCTGAGGAAGCATCTGCAGTTGGGGGGCGGGGGGGAAACCTCTTTCTGGATGGAAAGAGTAGTCAAGAAGCCAGAGGCTGGTATGCAGGCAAGAAAGCCAGACAGTGAAAATGTAAATTGAGGAGTCGTCAGTGGGTGAGCGCACACACCAACTGTAGATGCTTTCTCAGCCTTACAAAGGGTATCTATACCCGCAAGCTTGCAAAGAAGAATTTTTCCAACCATTTGAGTTGGTCAAATACAATATATCAGATATATCCAAATAACCTTGTCTGCCTGTGTCCTTAGATCAACATGGCTACAACCTATACCCCTGTAAAATAACAATAGTGCGCTCAGGCGTGTGTACACTAATTGGCCGTGGGTGTGCTTTGAGTAACTGAAGGGATGAGGCCAAACGGTAAGAGCTTAAGCACACTTATGGCTGATGCATGCTCCAGGCAACACTGTGCTGCTTTTTCAAGACAAGGAGCACCAGAGGTGCAGCTCAGGGAAAAAGAGGAATGCCTACTTGATCCTGGGCTGTTCCAGTGCCTAAATGATTGCAGGTGTTTCTGCCTCTCCGTAGGCCCCAGTTCCACCCGGTCTGTGCAATGCTGTGGTTCTGCTCAATGCAAAATGGCTGGAGGTATGAGTCTCTGACGTCTGCCAGGTGTCTTCTCGCTGCTAGTTATGAGCAATCCCTCCATAGCTTAAACAGACTTTTAAGGCCCATATCCACATTTTTGTTGTGATGCAGAGGAGCTAGAGTGTAACTGAATAAGTCCTCATTTGTTATGTGTTTTTGCTGTACAGATACAAGCTTTCATGAGTTTTTGCTATGTTAATGCACATCCTGTTTGTGGTTCATTCTAAAGCAGGAATTATGACTTTGGTGCATTGAGATTTACTACTTTGCCTTCAGGAGTTATGCCCAGGAAGCACATGGCAGAGACCAAGAAATGAGAGGCAAAGCAACAGAATGATGAATTGCTTTAGTGTTCTTAAAATGGCATTTTAGACTGTGTCTCCTATCTCTTCTCACCTAAGCAGTGCCAGCCTTTTCACCCAGTGTTCAACATCCAGTTCAGATATTCTCTAAGGAATAATATTACACATACAAATAAATTAGAAGAGCTTAGACTATACCACTGATGTATGTTTTCCAAAAATTTTAAGTCTGATTACTCAGAACAGCATCTCTGGTTAACTTGAAACTTTCCAAAAAGTCCAACCCTCATCCAAAAATGAGCTTAAGAAATTTCAGATGACTTAGAAGAGCCTCACAATGGTGACACTGTGTTCTCATGTTCTAGCTTGTTTTTCATCAGCCAAGGACTGTAAAAGTAGAAAGACTCCCAGCGATTTCAATGTCTGTGGGTAATGCCCTGAATAAAGAGATATTATATAAGATTTGGAGTGAAGTGATTTAAATCAAGATAGTTTAAATCATGAGTTAAGTCCTCAAGTGGATAGCCTTGATTTACATTATTGATTTTTTAAATCTATTTTTCTTTTTATTTGTCAGTTATTTTCTAAAGAAAGCTACATTTTCATTGGTTGCCATAGTCCTTGCATCCTAAATATTTGCAATGAAATAGAGCCTTTACAGTAGATTTGGAACATTAATTTTCTACCTAGGAGAGTACACTATGACCACATATTTAATTTAAGCAACTGTATGGCTCAACATTTTCAGAATCTTTATTAATTCTCACTTTTTCAGTATGCCAGATAATGGGAATGAGATGTGGCTTATTTACTAAATATTTTTTTACTTGTGATGTGTTTCAAGCAGCTGCATTAGGCTGGTAACTGGGATTTGAATGCACACAAAACAGCATACAACATTTTTTAAAATTAAGACAACCTTCAGTGTTCTTGATACGTAAACCTCCATGTGAATTTAAGAACTGAACCAGCTGGAGCTCAGGTAGGAAGAAACTTTAGAATAGGACAGTGGTTTTCAGCCTGTGGTCTGCAGACACCTGGGGGTCTGCAGACCATGTCTAAGAGGTTCATGAAAGATAATTATGATCCATCAAAAGTATGTGACTAGCCACACTTACAATTCAAAGGTGTCCACACCTCCATTTGAAATTTCCAAAGGGGTCTGCACCTCCATTTGAAATTTTTTAGGGGTCTGCAAATGAAAAAAGGTTGAAAACCCCTGGAATAGGAGCATGAAATTATGCATGTGGCTCCTTAAGTGGTACTCTTGAGATACAAGATGGGAGCCCCTGGAGGCAAAGGTGAGGTCTGCAGGGGCTATGTCAGTCTTTTAACACGCAGCTGCACAATCCTTGTGTCCCTCAGAGGATCAGGCTCTTAATATGGTACCTGGTGTACTGTGACTTATTTATAAAGCATTATCTTAACGGGTAACTGATTTCTCTACCAACCCCTTTCCTCCCCTGCTTCTCCCTATTCTTTCTTTGTATAGAAAAACACAACCTGTAACTCCAAAGTTTTGACAGCAGCTCGTGTTAAGCAGGTTTGTTTTTTATTTAAATGTTTTAAGAGCTGACTAGCTTAGGTCTTACCTTATTTGTGTTATGTTTCATTTTGAACAGGTTTATTAAAAAAAAAACCCACAAAAAAGATCATTTAGATACCAAAAATGAAAGCAGCTGGTTTTAAATAAAAAATCCAAGTGTTGGGGGGGTGGGGGTGTTTCATTTTTGGTGAAATCATCGATTTATTATTATTTTTTTTATTAACCATGGGAAAATAAATCCCGCCCAGATTTTCCACCCTCAGGATGGTGACTGCCTGCTTACTTTACATGCCCTGAGTATGTGAAACTCCCTCCCATCCTCCCAGCTACTGAGTCATTTCCTCCTGTTAAACCTTCCTTTTTTAGACTCTCACTATACAGTATTTTGTGATGTTGTCGGCTGAGTGCTGAAAACCCTGCTTCAACCAGCTTTTGCAGCTCCTACGCTGCCTTGCATGTGCTGCTTTTGTGTCTTAGAAATCCAGCTTCTTTTTTCTCAATAGCGTCCATTTTAGACATGTGCTGTGCTCCTATGCAAATGGTTTATTTGCCATTGTGAATCAGAGGAGTTGACAACTGGCAGAGCAGCTGGTATGCTGGGGCTGCTGCTTATTATGCTAATCACCGTTGTCTCATTGCTGCCCTCTGCCCTCTCTCCTGTGTGTTATATCCACCCACTGCCTTGTCAAAGGCTTCCATTCTGCCACTGTGGTTCGTTACACATGGATGATGGGCAGTGACCATAGACTACATGGGGGGTGGGGAAGGGGGGGACAAGGCATGGGCTTAAAGGTGACACAGACATCATAGTGTTGCGTCGTTAGTTTGCAAGCTGTTCAAAGCTAGGTCCATCATTTCTTTCCATGCATGGACAGTGTCTAATGTGGGCTTGATCTGCTTGGCTGCACTATAGCAATGTAATCCCTTTGCGTGTTTCCATTCCATCATTTGTTTTATTCTAAGGTATGGGATATTAGCAATTCTCTGGGCATGTAAGGAGTCTGTAAGGAGACTTTGGTAGGTACAGCCCTAACAATTCACTTGCTAATGGGACCCTGGGGTGCAGCCCTTGGATAGGCGTTGCTGTAACTTTCTGTGATCAAAAGGCGAATGGGGAGTTAAACTTCCAAGTTGTCACAATCCTGGAGCTGACTTATCCCATTTCCTGTTATAGAGAGGCAGGTAGTGGAGTGACTAGAGTCCCCACTGGGACTCAAATCCTGCCTTGTATTCCTGGCTGTGCTGTATGATCTTGGGCAAGGCACTTAATCCATGTTTTAGTTTACCCTCTTTGCAGACACAGGGGTTGATAGCAACTTCCTTTGTGAAGTGCTTTGAGGCCTACTGCTGAAAGAGCAAGGCATTCTTTGGAAACACACCAACATGCACAGGGATGAAAACCCTGCACTAAATTTGCCACAGATCTATGCCAGAATTGAATGTCCTTTGGGACTGCTCTTGGCTTCTGCACTTGCTGCAGGCTGCATTTCTGTCACTTCACAGGGAAGTGAAGGTTGTAAAAACAATGGACTACTGGGCCAGAACGTGATTTCACTCATGACAGTGTAAATCTAGAGTAAAGGCCACCAACTACACTGGAATCACCCTGGATTTGCACTGCTCAAAGAGATCCGAATGAGGGCCACTATATACGCTGGGCTTTAAAAACCTCCAAGGGCATTTTGAGTGTTTAGGAATTCATGAGAAGAAATGGAATTAGGAGGCAACTCAAACTAGACAGCATTTTGTTGTGGTTAATCATTATCTTGCATTTCTATGTTCTTCCCTGTGTGGTTCATTATGTTTTTGGTATTGCCCAGAGGAGGCTACTTCGTGCAATATGCAAGAGTGAAATGACTGGATCTGCTCAGAGTCAGCTCAGGGCCTATACACCCTATATTTACAACCTATTTTTGTGGTATGCCCTTCTACACAAGAGTTGTATCTTAAGTTTCTGTCTTCTGTGGAGAGGGAAAACTTGTGGCTGACATGCTGAAGCCCTGGGATTCTGCATGGTTTTTGCATGGTCTCCATCACTGTAGCAAGAAAATGCTTCATAATACTCCTCTAAGGCAGAGTAGAGGTATCACCTCCGTTTTACCAATGGTAATCGAGCCACAGAAAGCTACGTGACTTGCCACGTGACTTACCCAGGAAGTTGTGGTAAGTCAGGCATGAGTCAGCTTTTGCACTTTAGCCACTGGGACACCCTTCCTCAGCCCATGCCTTTAAGAGGTGCTATCTCTGCATCCCATTTTGAGAGACCCTTTGGCTAAAGCACAGTTAGGAAGATGATTGAAATGTACAACAGTAGTAACTGATTATGCTCCTTTTGCCTTCAGTGTTGAGGCACTTAGTGTTGAGGTGGATTTCTCTGGAGTGCTAACTGAGCTCCAGATAATGAGGCTTGCGCTAATTGAGGCTAATGAAGACAGGACAAGGCCTCACTTTAACTTTTTGCCTTGTTGATAATAGCTACCCTCAGGTCTAGGAGTTCTTGGACTAGACTGAGGACTCAACTGTGCCAGCTGACGGAACAAAAATCAGCTCACAAAGACACTCTCATGGACCCAGAGGAACAGACTTCCACCTTCAGCTTTCTCTGTGCAAAACTGAAATTTATTTTCTACCTGTGGGGACTTTTTGCCATCTTTAATTTTCCCTGAGCCTGAGGAAGGGTATGTGTGCCCAAAAGTTTGCAGAAATAGATTTTTTTTTTGCAATTTCTTAGTTGGTCTAATAAAAGATATTATCTCTGAACCAAGAGTTCTAGAGTTTTGCATGACAGAACAAAAAGGCATTCCTTGCCCTAAACCCTGTGCAGTAGCCAGAGACGAGAGGTGAACACAGACAAGAGTGGGGAATGCAAGGAATTGGTGCTGGTCTGAGTGCTAGGCCACTGGTGTACAAATACCGCTGCCAAATGCTGTCAGATTTTTTTGCAGGCCTGGGAAAGGAGGATTCTAAGAAAGTACTGGAAGGAAGCTGAGGCAGATGTGTGTGGGTTTATGGGGAGCTCTTATCAGCACGAGTGGTGGTATGGAAAAGAAAATGGAGTGGCTTGCTTGAAAATTTAACAATGGGCAATGTTGGTCATTAATTCATACTTTCTTCTGTTTTCTGTTTCTTCGCCTAATCTATGCTAGACACTTTGGAGACATCTGCCTTGCTACTGCCATGCAGCTCCAGTGATGGAACCTGGAGTGCAGACATGAAACCAGGGTTTATCATCGTCCTGCTGTGATCCCAGAGCCTGTCTCCTCTTGTGCACCTGTTCCTACCAACATGCTGTAGGTATGCTGTTGTACATCTGTCCATTGTAGAGACATTAAACCGTGCTCTGAAATGGCTGGGACAGGGAGCTTTTGCGAAGGGCTTCCAAACGTGATGGACTAGCTTTAGAATCCAGTGTAGCAACTCCTAATCTCCAGTGGTGTCCTCTTGGGCTTCTGAGTTCCTAATGCAGCACGGTATAGTTTGGCCTCAAAATAGCCAACAGAGAGCAGCAGTTACCTTAGCTGAGTCAGTCAGCATATATGTAACTGCCAAGCCATGCAGTAGTGTCCTCAGTGGCCATGGGCACAGAACTGAGCATGTAGTCATCAACAGTATGTGTCCTGGTGTGTGTTTTGCTACAGCTATGGTCTCTGATTGTCACAAAGACCCCAACAGTGGAGGCTGGCTCTTGCCCTGTCTGGAACCTATTCAGCAAGCCCCACTGACAGCAGGGCAGATTGAAGCCAGGTGAGAAGACTGTAGGATCTGTGATAAGGAACTTGTTTGAATGTTGATCTCCATTCCTCACACCATGAAGTCTCCATCATGAGGTCCTGGTATGACAGTTTAGACCACAGTGGGTGTTGTGATGGTAGAATGTAGCAGGTGGATTTAAGAGATTGTTATGCAGCGGCCTGCTTGGATTGGCGTAGATCTCTTCCAGTAGTTTGCTAGTTGCAACGTCCCATCAGGTATGGACGGGAACAATGTTGCTTAGGACTGGGAGCCATGGTAGAAGGGTTGGTTGTAGAGTTCCCGAGATGATGCGCATCGTTGAATGTAGCTGCATATCAATGAGTTTGGTGTGTGATGACTGGTTCTTGACTGGTGTGCAGTAGTCTGACACAGAGTACGACATGGCAAGAGATGACATCTTTAGAGTTGAGGCTCTTGCGCCCCACAATGACTCAGCCAGCTTCTAAAAGGAGATTACTGTGTGTCTTAACTTTCAGTGTTGCTTTTTTCAAGTGTTCATGGTAGCTTAATGTCCGGTCTAGCATCACACCCATGTGGATGGGTTGTGCTTTGTGCCACAGCCTCTGACCATTCAGGAAAATGGTCAGCTCCAGGGCAGTGCTGGCATTGTGTAGGTGGAAAATGCTGGAAATTGTCTTACTGACACTTGGCTGCAGGTGCCAAGTCTTGCAGTAGTCAGCCAATTTTGTGACGTCACTGTTCAGAGTGTTCTAGCTCAGAGAAAGTCTGGGCCTGGAATCCACAGCTGATGTTGTCAGCATAGATGAATTTCTGTAACTGGGTTTGTGGCAGGTTATTAGTGTAGAGAAGGGGTGGGCAATTATTTGGGCTTGTGGGCCACATAGGCAGTTCTGTGGAGTTGCCACAGGTCAGTCACCACCCCTCCCCGTCCACAGCCCGAAGACTGCATGTCCTGTGGCTCTTTCCCACCACTGTCAACAGCGCACAGCCCCAGCCCTGACCCCAGCCCACCCCATTCCCACTCCAGACTTGCCCCGGCTAGACAGGACCAGTCAAAGCCCATGCGCATAACCCTGAATTTGGCCTGGCCTGCCTGAGCTGCCTTGTGGCTCCTCTTTGCTGCCAATATTGCTTCCTCCGGGCCGTCTAGCGGGGCAGTGGTGGCAGTGCAGAGCTGCTGCAGGGCGGCCCGGGCATGGGCTCTGGGCAGCTGCAGCAAGAAGGGTACGGCAGCGGCAAAAGGGAGGGCCTGCTTTCCACCCCCCGCACTTGCCATGCTGAGCAGCAGCTTCTGCCCAGCTGCTGCTGCTCAGCATGGGCGAGCCTGTCTGGAGCCAGTGCGGAGCAGGGCAGGGTTGGGGCTGGGGGTATTAGTTCTGGCTGGTCCACTTTGCTGGGCTGAGTCCAGAGCAGGTGCAGGGAGGGCTGGGGTCGGGGTTGTGTGCACAGGTCCCCACTAGTACCCCAGGGTTCTGGCTAGTGGCAGTGGCAGCTGCAAGGAGCTGTCACCACCTGGGCTGCCTAGAAAGGCAGTCCAGTCGCAGCCCCATGGCTTGCCCAGAGGGTGGTGGGACGTACCACAGGTCAAATGGCATCTCGGCCAGGTGGGACTGAGTGACCTGTGGTGGGCTAGACAGTCTGTATTTTGCCCAACCCGGTGTAGAGATTGTACAAAGTCAGAGCAAGTTGCACATAAAACAGTTTAAGTGAGTAGAAACTGGTTTAAACTTGTAACAACGTAAGTTCAGTGCACATAAATCAGTTTGAACCAAATGGCTGAAACCGGTTTGAGATAAACCTGGTTGAATGTAGTATCAGACTTCACTGACTGAGCTCAAACCAGTTTATGCAACATCTGTCCCAGACCCCTTCCTGGTTTAAGTTAAACCAGAGTCCCCCAGCATCCGGGCATGCTCTGCAGCCCTGGGCTGGGCTCTCTGCTTCAGCGGACCAGGGTTGACCTCGCCTCTCTTCTCCCTAGCTGGAGCAGGGGTGGGAAGGGGCAGGGACATGGCCAGACGCCAGCCCCCCTAAGGTGCAGGGGGTAGGGAAGAGGTTTATTCCCCCTCCCTCCCCTGTCCCACCAGCACCGCTCTGCCAGGCATTTCTCCACTCATTGCTTCCACGGCGGCAGCGTGGCCAGCACTGGCCTAGAGTGAACTGGCCAGGGGGTTTAATTCCCCCCTCTGTCCCATGGACCCAAGCTGGGGTCTGCCTGGTGCTCCCCCCTCACTGCCGCAGCAGCTGGGGCAGGGGGGCAGTCAGATGCTGGCCAGCATGGGCCCCTGAGGCATAGGGGGCAGGGAGGTTGTTTATTTTCCCCTCTGCCCCTGGGGAACTGCAGCTGGGGTCTTCCCACCCTGAACCCCACCATTGCCGATCTCTCCTTGCAGTGGAATAAGCCCCCTCCCTACCTCCTCTGCCAGATACTGGAGGGAAGGGGAAATAACCCCCCTCCCTGCTCCGTCACCTGAGGGGGCCATGCCTGCTGGCCTCTGGCTGCCCCCCCACCCCTGCTGCTGGAGTGGTGAGGGGGGAGCGACCAAGACGGGGGGGCTGCAGCCCCTCTCATGGCTTCCTGGAGTGCAAGCCTCTTCCCAGCAGGGGGGCTGCTCTGTGGGTGAGGATGGGAGCTGTGTGGTCAGAGTTGCCACAGACTGTGCGGGACAACTGGCAGTAGCACTAGGGGGGGTTGGGGGCTATGGCCACCACTCTGAGCTCTGGTGCTGCTGCTCTCTCCACACAGTCTGCTGTAGCTTTCCCCACCCTGCCCCCACCCACAGTGCGGCCCCCCACACCGCAAGGAGGCTTGTGCTCCGGGAAGCTATGAGAGAGACTGCTGCCCTATCATGGTTACTCCCCCATCACCACTCTAGCAGCAGAGCTGGGGTGCAGCCAGAAGTGGGCTGGCATGGCCTCCTTAGGCAAGGGGGTGGAGAAGGGGGTTATTTTCCCTTCCCTCTGGCATCTGGTGGATGGGACAGAGAGGGGGCTTATCCCACCGTTCGCCCCATGCAGAGAATGATCAGAGGTGGCAGCGGCCAGGCCTGGCAAACTTTGCTGTGGTCCCCCGAGGGCAGAGGTGGTTGAGGGGGAATAACCCCCCTCCCTACCCCCCCTCTGCCTCAGGGGGCAATGCTGCCCAGTGTCTGGCTGTGTAAGTTACTTTAGTGCACAAACTGATGTAAACAACATGGGTATAAATGCGTGTCCAACCGATCAATAAACGATAGGCCTGGGATTTTCAGTGGAGCTTTTGGGAGCTAGGCATTCAATCTCCTTGTATTTCAGTGGGATTTGGATGCCTCCCTGAGGTTTTGAAATGTTTGATTGAAATCCTCATCCTCTGAAAATGTCCAGCCATCTCATTTTTCTGGCTCTGGGTCCTACAGTTCCCAGCTCAAAAGATCGCATCCTTTCTTCTTCCTCTCCCCCTCAACTTGGTCAAGTCTGAACTTCTCGTCTTTGGGCTGGTGGTTGATTTACCTTCCTCGATCCAGTTTCTTAGTCCGTCCCCTTTACAAAGCACTCCACTTGCCCCGTTAGAACCCCAGCCAGTAAGGCTGAGGCAGTGAGACAAGAAGCAGTGTTTGTGTAAGTCTGAGTTGGAACCAGCACTGTTAAGTTTTAGAAAGACAGCATTGATAGCCAGCATATAGAATAACAGTTAGCCTCGCATGGCCTCCTGCATTCCCATCTCATGAAGTATTTGCAAGGGACTGCTTCTTCAAACCAAATCCAATTGTCTATGATTTTATGATACTCAGCGTGAAGTGGGATCCAGAAGCTTCGGGCTAACCACTATCAAGGTGTGAGTGCCACCTCGTGGCTGACAGGTATTATTTCATGCTTCAGCAATTCTGGAATTGCTAGGGTTTACAGTCCCTGTCTTGCACAAAGGTCCACTCAGTGCAAATGAACTACAGTTCCCTCTCTCCGGAAGGATTTGCATCAGCCCCAGCATGAGCTAAAAAAGTCAGCCCTAGTATGAGCTAGAGAAGGCTGTTCTACTTTAGACCATCTGGGATGGTCCCCAAAGATGCCTTATATCCCATGATATTTGATGGAGCACAGCTGTGGTGTCCTCTTTCTGACCTGCTCTTTCTAGTGGAGTGAAGTAGAGTGGTTTCCTCAGGACCAGGCTGCACCGCTGATAGAGGTACTCAGCTGTGTTAGTGTGAAATCAGTCAGAAGGCAGGGTACATATGCATCTGTATAGATTAACTGAATAAGGTGCATAGGGAGAGCACAAGCTTTCGTGAACCCAGGTTCAGTTCATCAGATGCTGTGAAAGGACATCACAGAATGAAGTATAAAGTACAGTGGGTGACTAGGATTCAGTACGTGGGGAAGGAGGAGTTCATAGAATCATAGAATCTTAAAAAGTGAGGGTTGGAAGGGACCTCAGGAGGTCATCTCGTCCAACCCGCTGCTCAAAGCAGGACCATCCCCAACTAGATTATCTCAGTCAAAGCTTTGTCCAGTCAGGTTTTGAAAACCTCCAAGGATAGAGCTTCCACCACCTCTCTGGGTAACCTGTTTCAGTGTTTTACCACTCTCCTAGTGAGAAAATTCTTCCT